TAAAATCATATAATAAAAGCTTGACAATTTTGTCTTAAATTCAAGCATTTGTAATTTCGAAACACGGTACTATAATTTTTTCACAAACAAAGTAAATCAAAGGTTTGTGTCATCATTTTCTAGAACATCTTTGAATAATTCATGCTAAAATAGGAATGTGGAAGTTAAAATAATCTGACCGAGTAAAAATAATTTTTATACCTTTATTTGGACAGAAGCTTTATTTTTGCAACTAAGTCATGTAGATGTCCATACATGTAACTTTTAAATCGTAAAAATAATGGAAGGAGAGAAGACATGTGTACGTCCTTTTAATAACATTTTAGCACCCATTCCAAAAAAGGGGGGAGGAATAAAACGATTTAATACATGCCCGTAGACAGCAATTTCAAAAGAGGAGTTCTTTTTTCTGAAAAAAGTGGACCTTTTACCATGAAACCTTCATGTGCCTAGATAAAATTTTATCCAGAGGGGACCTTTTCCCAGCAAAAGGGGGGTTCTTTCGAACCCCCCGAACCCCCACTGCCTACAGTCATGTAATTCCATAGTGGAATAAACCACAGAAAAAAATCAGCTTGAACTCGAACCAACACTACCATAAGTTACGCTTGCCAAAACGTTTTGAAGCATGGCTCGAAGAATGATAAACCATAGAATGTGAAGCTTTACATGTATATCCAGCAGGCTTGGTAAATTCTTGCTGGCATTATGCAATGTTCAACTTTTGCTCGATACTAGGTTTAAAGGCAATTAACAGCGTTTGCTAGGGTTAAGTACCCAACAGGTCTGACAACCCTTTATGGGAATTAAAGATCTACATCCAATTAGTTCACTTTCATACTGTCTTAATCACATTCGGAATTTTTCCCCGGTGAGTTGGAATATGCTCGATAGCATACACTGTCGGATGCTTCCATCAAAGCAAAACCAATTTCATTCAGACACGAGTACAAATGGAGAGATTATTTTCAATACCTCAGCTATTGCGTCCGTGAATAGTCTTAGGCTGAAGGTTTATCTTACTAATACACAGAAAGGGGAGTGCCTACACGTGTAACAAATATTTTATATTTATAAACAAAGCAGTCTAAAATCTCGAGTGAACAAAAAACGTAATGACTAACATCACCCTGCATTCAATGATAAAATAATGAGGTGTAATCGCACAGCGAGCAAAGACCATTGTTCGATCGTGCTTTTTAAGAAGGAAGCATAAAGATTGGGTCCTCTCGTTTGATAGACGCTCAGCTTCCCCCCCCCCCCACCCACCCCGATTTACAGATTATTTAGTCTCGTAAACCATAAACCTCCTCATAAAATCATAAACGTCTACCTATTGTTAATTTGCTACCCAACCAAGGAATTATCCTTCACGTACCCCTGAACTGACCAAATAATATCTAATGACAATGTATTTAAAGAAATTATAGAAGCGTGGTAGAGTTAATATTAATCTTTCAGCCTATAAGTAAGTGACAAGTCGATACAACACTTGCTAAGTGGACGGCTGATTTCAGTATTTATATAGCTAGTGTTAATGTACGGTGATGTCTGTTTAGTTTATTTGCACTCAATTAGCATTTGTAAAATCTACCTGAGGATCCCCCTGATTAGTCCTGGGAGTGAGGGGCGTTAGTGTACACGGAAGCTTATACAGATTACCAATACCTGTTAGCACAGGTGCGTAATTGAAAGACCCTTACACCCCTCCCCCCCCTTACAGACGTACTTTTACAGTCTTGTCCTATTTAATAACAATAACAATAACAATAACAATATATAATGTCTTCTGCCCTGACGTTTACGAAACTTAACTTTTTCAAAGACATATACAAAAGCTCAATCACTTAGTCCACTCTTACAATCCCCCCCCCCTCAATCACTTAGTCCACTCTTACAATTGCCCCCCCCCCCCACCACCACCACCACCACAACCGTAAAGTACTCAACTGACTTCAGCGCGTGCGCACGGTCCGTAAGTATTCCATTGAACTTGACATAACAATCCTTTGAATAGCACTTGAGCGTATGTCACATATGTTAGTTTGGTGGATTTAGAATGAAACACGTTGCTACGCTGAAAAGGTAGGGAAGTCTGTGCTTATGATAATATATAGGTAAGTGCGTAAAAAAGCATGTTAGTGTCTTGTCCAAGATAAACCATGAGGTTGATATACTAGTATATTCGCTCAGCTGCGAGGTACTACCGATCTCTCAGACAACGAGGAATACCTTAATATCTGATTTGTTCTATCAGTAAGTAAGTCTTTCTTATGCAGTTTCTATTACATTCGCGTTAAAGGGAAACCTAAGGAATTTCATCACTAACAGACCCTTTGTTTCGCACACGATGGTAAGCTATTGTGTATGTTTGCTCAGGCAAGTTCTGGGAATCTAGAGACTAGAACCTCAGTTGGTCTCATCGACATCGGGTTTGGTGAGTAGGGCATACATATAGTTTTTCTGGTCTACAAGAATAACCAGTGTTTCCATTTGGCAGTATTATAATTCAGTTTTGTTAAAAGAAGGGACATTTTGATGAGTATGAAGTGGTCAAAATAACCTTATGCCCATATTGTAAATTGACTTCAGAAAATTTGGTGTCCGCTGAACATACTGGGTAGAACGCAACGACGCAAGAGAAAATGTTATTCGGGAGACGTATTTTCATTATGAATAATATATGAAAGCTATTCCTTCTTGCCCACGGGAGCGTGTTCTTATTCTCTGCACAACTTGTATTAAGCAAAATATTTAAATAATTAATAGATTAGTAATGCCAATGTGACATAATAAATCACACTATAAACGATTTGCATTGTATATCAAATGCACCCATTCAGATTTAGAATGATTAAAAGGCGTTTCTTTAATTCTCTTTATAAGGCGGCTGTTTCTTAGGTTTTTGTACAGTTACTTCTTATGAAGAATAAAAGGGAGAAAAGTACACACATAATGCATGCAAGTAGCCTACGCACACGCACGCACTCACACACACTCTCGGTTGTCTGAATTCTCTTTTTACTGCAGTGGCCTTATATAGAAAATTCATACTACAGATCAACGTTAACTCTGTAACCTCGGGACACCATGTAATCCCTTAAGATCCATGCCATTAGTAAGGCGTTCAATAGAAGTTTTCTTTACTGAATAAACGAAGATGACATCATCGCCTGCCAGTTTATAAGTTTGTCGGTTCAGGCGGAGTGTGGGACATTCCGGCAGTAGGTGTGACAGACGGTGTGACTCCCAAAACAGGACACTTTTCTCAGAGAAAAAAGTAACACTGACGACCATGCGTATGCGTGTGTTCACTTAAGCGCGTGTTTGTGCGTGCACAGCTGATGATAGCTGATGACGTTGTTTGTGTAAATATATGTTGCACTCATTGTTAGAGATACATAAATTCCATATATTATTCATAATAGCGTAGTTATTTGTGCTTCTCTTACATGGCTGCACGTGCTCTTTGAACGTCACCGGAGGAAATAATATAGGTTTTGTTATTTTCATAAATATGATGTCAACAACGTAATGTACCTGCGTAATGCATTGACGTTTTATTCCCTTAACATGTATTGAACGTATGGTCTGTTCACATCGAAGCAACTTTCAGTCGGTCACACAACTAAAATTCCATTTACTATCCAAGGATAGTAGTACGGTGTCTAGTGGAAAAAACATACACACACGCACGCGCGCACACACGCACGAAGAAACAACCAAAGCAATTACTATCGATTTATTTACCTTTGGTATTCATAGTTCACTCTGCAAAATGGGAACAGACCCTGCTTTTGAATTTTGCAACACATTCCGTCAGTAGTTTTTTTTTCTCTCACCGCAGACGGTATTGAAATATATTCCATCCACTTTCATCTCGTGAAATATACATCTGTGCATTTATACCAGTATTACACAAGTGAATGATTCAGTATACTGAATAGGTATGGAGGATGAGCGTGTTGTTCCACTTGACTAGATGTAAATATGAATTTAATATTCAGTCTGATTTGACCCCAGATATAATTAACACTCATCGTCGACGTAAACATGCTATATAATGGAGGTTTGCCCTAATTAAAAATGACACATATATGTAGGAATTTCATAGATGAGTTTGAAGAAAATCATTATAGTACGTATACACTGGTTATATAGATATTGAGGGTCTGCACTTCCATTTTCGGGAATATACTATTAAGTGCATGTATTGTTAAGGTGAAGTTGCAAGGACAAGATCGATTATTTTACTTGCATTTATTTGAAAGCTTACTCTGTCAGGTAATCGGATTAGTTGTTTCTGTTTTTGATGGCATAATCCCATATGTAATCAATCCCAATACATCGAAAATGTCCACATTAAGGGGTAAGTTAACATTGGCATCATTAAGGTTCATGTCCCAATCGATTTGTCATGATATCTGGTATCTTGGGTTCACTGTATGAAACACCTCACACCATGTAGGTCGGAAGTTAATTCATTGAAAGGTTTGTTGTGTCCATTGGCCCCAATGAAATCAACACCGCTGAACCGAAACATGCGCTGGCGATACACGTGTATCTCAATCGTGATATGATATAGATTCGCCGTAAACCTTTTAACAAGTAATGCCAATCCCTGCTGTTCACAAAGATCTGTTTTTGGAATTTTTTTTCTTGCCTTAGTTCAACAACTGGTGCTTCAGACTATCATATTTAACGAACACAGTTAAAAGATTTATGTGGGTTTTTTGTGCAGCAAAAGCTATGCTGCCAACTTCGGGCATTTGTAAGCTGAGATACAAGGTATGTATCTCTTTGGCGTCACCTTTCCCCAAGGCGAAAACATTAGCAGGACCGTGTGTCCGGTAGCTCAGCGTACATCTTGCGGTGTGAGTTGGGCTTAATACTGTACATCACTGGTATATACTTAAACATTGACATACATGATACGTCATATGGCACCAGTGCCACTTAGCTTTATTTTTACCAGCATTTTTCTTCTTTATGTGTTACAGGTTCACTGAGCTGGCAAGATGGACGTAGCATATAACTTCACTGGATGGAATATGTCGCTTCCTGTCAATGTTTCAGAAGCGGGAATGGTGCCAATTGACAATAGAACAGACGACTTTTTTGGCAGTAACCAAACGTGGAGTATCAACAACGTTACCAATGGCTCTGACATTACACCTGACCCAAATGGAAGTGTAAGCAGATCTGAAATCGACATATATCAGGTACATTTACCTCTAAAAATCACGCTAGAACAATGGGTACCGATTGTTTATTATATATTTGGATTATCAGGGAACTTTTTAGCCTTTATCGTATGGATACAGCGAAGAATGCAGCATTCGTCTGGATGCTATCTCGCTGCATTGGCTCTCTCAGACTTGTGTTTTTTGTTACTCCATATGCTGTACGAAATCCACTATATATGGGGGCACAAGGTTTTTAATGCAAACGGAGCATGCCAGATTTTCGCCATCGTCTTCATGTGGACCCAGCACATGTCGCCAATGTTCGTTCTGGCGTTCACCATCGAGCGGTATTTGGCGGTGTGTCACCCTTTTAAACGGGACAAGATATGCACGAAGTCCCTCGCCATCAAAGTGATCGTTTCAATCACGGTGGTCTGTCTATTGATCGATGGAATGCAGGGTTACTTTTGGACATACGTCTCGAAAGCGGACGACTGTGACGTCAGAGGCGAGACGCTGATTGGAGGTGTCGGTTCGGTATGGAGTGTGTGGTCCTGGGTCACAGAGATCTTAATATTCGCAGTGGTGCCTCTCTTGGTGCTGATTTTCAATATTCTAGTGATACACGAGGCTCGGAAACTTTCAGAGAATGAGAAAATTCAACTGCAGTCACGGAAAGGACGAAGGACTTCGACTACCACTTTCATGCTTCTTGCCGTGTCTTTTTTCCTAATTTTCACAACACTGCCAGTGACAATAGTCTATAATCTGTATGCCGTTTTTCAGCAAGGCGATCCAACCTTATCAGATGAAGAAATTCATTTAGACCAAAAATGGCAGGCACATCTGAAGTATACTGCTATAAAAACCTTGGTCCAATACTTTGGAATGGCCCACTATGCATGTAACTTTTATATATATTGTATCACGGGGAAGATGTTCCGAAAGGAGTTGGTCTTGATCTTCAAAAGGGTGTTCCGAATTCAAATTCCAGTAAGCAGACGCGGTACTTTTAATAGTAGTCTTCGAACCCATAGCACGGGGTTTTCTTTGCGAAGTGGCGCTCTTAGAGCCAGCGAAAGAAGTATTAGAAGTAATAAGTCTAACGGTAGTATCAAACCGAATGGCCCTGAAAACACAACTTTATTATAAATAAATAAATGATATTAAGAAAATTGATTTCTGCACAGTATCCTGAAGGAAATGACACACTTTTTGAGAACTCGCCAAAAGTTTAAGCAGAGTTCTGTTGCTTCTGGTACATCTTTCGCGTCAGAGAATGTCGCTTTGTCCAACTGTTTGGTTGTTTATTGTTATATTTATATGCTTTAAAAAACTAGCCTGATTATGTACATGTTAATTATTGTAAATACCTATTTCCATATTTAAATCGGCTTTTGGTTGGTTTTATAAAGGCAATTTTGGTCTTTTCCCACTTTTGAAAAGAAAAGGACACAATTTCAAAAATCATTTCACAAAAAATATTTGTGCAATAGGTGGCAACTCCTATACTTTCATAACTGCTGAATGCCCACTTCTTTTCGGTTCCTTTCTTTTTCTTATAAATAATCATAATCAAAGTGCATATTAATAATATCGTATGTTTAAGTGGAAAAATTATGACCAAGTCAAATAAATGACGGCTGTTTTTCATGAGCAAAAAAGGCATATGCGATTTTGATGCGGATATGTTATTTTTTTCATTGTGAGTTTAAAATCTTTTAAAGGTACTTTGTAGATACAATATATTTATTATTTGCTCAGATAATATCCAACTGTGCGTCTTAAAATTGCAAATATCTATTCATTAACCGGCATGTGTAACACCATGTATTCATATATCACTATATTTATATGTGGATATATATATTTAAAGCGAACATAACACTTGCAATATAATATATACACCTTATATTTAAATTATAAATACGAGCCATGATATTGGAACGCTGACATTTTTCACATTGGCCATTTTCAAATGACCGACGTCTTGGACATGGGTCCTATTCGAATCCAGGGTATTCATGTGTCTTAATGGGGTGGTATGAAAAAGCACGTTCTCTCAACCGTCCTTCCTTCGTGTGCCTTCTATAGTAGATACTCTCAGGCAACTAACCTAAGTGAAAGAAAATGTGATCGCAGCTGGTATGCACGCTTTTTATATTAGATATATGCTTTTGGTGTTACACATTTCTACCTGGTGATTGCTAACTTTTAACCTTGGCTTTGAACTATCTTAGCAAGAAAGTGCGTCCACTGTTAAAATCCCTATTGATTTTTCTCTCTATTTTGGTGTGAATCGTTTTTGTAAGATGCAAGATACTCTGTCTATTAGCGAACATTTCTTGATAATTTTCGCTCAGAGTGATGCTGTTGCGATTCTTAGTGGGAACTATTTGCAAAAAAAAAAAATAATAATAATAATAATAAATAAATAAATAAAAATAAAAAATAAATAAATAAAAAAAACGAGAAGAATTTGGTGGATGCGCTTGAAGATAAGGTAGTTCATAGTGCCAATGCTTTTACTATATGCGATAACACATGGCTGCCTCCTTATCCTCCCATTCAGTTCTCCTTTTCCATTGTTTGATTACAGGGTGCATGGGAAACACAGAGCCAATACGAGCATGAAAAAGTGAAACTGAAAACTCTTATCCCACAACAATCCAAGGGGAATGACATAACCCCAAATGGACAGTGTCCGAACTAGCCAACGCTTCAACGCAGTCTCACAACATAGTAGACAGTAGATGCTGATTGGTCCAAAGGTATAACAACTGGCCCTGGTAGAGTAGTATTAGCATTCTGGCTTTTAAAAAGAGTTTATACCATTGCCTTACGACGTGTGAAAGAGTCGCTAGCAAGAACAATGAAACGTCTGTGAAAGTATGTCCTGAAACTCTTCTTGTACAGCATGTCTTTCTGAACTGTGCCTATCACAAAAAAAAAAAAAAAANGATAAATAGAAATAAAAAAAATAAAAAAACGAGAAGAATTTGGTGGATGCGCTTGAAGATAAGGTAGTTCATAGTGCCAATGCTTTTACTATATGCGATAACACATGGCTGCCTCCTTATCCTCCCATTCAGTTCTCCTTTTCCATTGTTTGATTACAGGGTGCATGGGAAACACAGAGCCAATACGAGCATGAAAAAGTGAAACTGAAAACTCTTATCCCACAACAATCCAAGGGGAATGACATAACCCCAAATGGACAGTGTCCGAACTAGCCAACGCTTCAACGCAGTCTCACAACATAGTAGACAGTAGATGCTGATTGGTCCAAAGGTATAACAACTGGCCCTGGTAGAGTAGTATTAGCATTCTGGCTTTTAAAAAGAGTTTATACCATTGCCTTACGACGTGTGAAAGAGTCGCTAGCAAGAACAATGAAACGTCTGTGAAAGTATGTCCTGAAACTCTTCTTGTACAGCATGTCTTTCTGAACTGTGCCTATCACAAAAAAAAAAAAAAAAGCTCAAGCAAAACTTCTTTAACTGAGGGAGCACCAGCGTTCCAATCTCAATTGTACATAGTTTGTACATTAATGACATGTAATCACCTGTTTTGTATTTCTGACAAGACGGCAGGCTTTGCTATTTATTGTTAGCACCTTTGCAAAATCGGCAGTTAATTTAAATTACACGTACGGTGTAAAAATACTAGATGTAAAACGTTGCGAATATATAGTCTCAAGGCCTTAAAATAATTCAGTTTCTTCGTTGATGGAAATGTCAATGTAGAGATATGGTGACTGATATAAATACCGTTCTATTTTTCAATAAATTATAATATCACTGAAAGCTGGTGTTCTGTTGATTTCTGTGCATGATTGGCCTTGTGACCTTTGCTTTAATGTAAATTGTCATTATCGGGTGTCAAACTTATCAATCAAAAGGAGGGACAGCAGATTACACTTTAACCTCTCTAAACGTCTTTGATGCGATTCTAATACGAATAAATTGTAGCCTCACTAGCGGTTCTAGGATTTTGCTACGGTTGACACAGCATTAAAAAGTAGGGGAAAGGGCGAAATATATAAAATGTATAGACATGTATAGACGAGGAGAATGTTACCATAATACGTTCGGTACAGGGATGGAAAACCGCTTGATGTTGTCTCGTTTTGCTTCTCATACTGTTTTTAAGGAAGAAAAAGAGGGAAAGGGGGATACATCAGATACTCTTTGAGGGGGGCAGGGGGTGGTCACGTGCTCACTGTGCCCTCCCATTTCCTCTCCACCCCCGCCCCCAATTCCGTCATTGTACCTTCTAGTAAAGCCAATCGGTTCTACCTTTGCTGATATAGCCCCAGTCTATGTGTTATACCTTTCAGTCACGGCACACTTTTCTTTATGTATAATTGACTTATTTATTATTCATGTGAAAATTCGGGCCAAGTGTTATTCAAATATTTAACTCTCTCTCTGTCTCTCTTCTTCTTTTATGCAAGGAGGTACATGAGACCTCTTTCACAAAATTCCTAAACTTCGTAAACTTTTAGGGCAAAATTTTAGTCATCATTAGTACTCACCTGATAAAGCGATGCATTGTTCCTGATTTATAATAAAAACTATATACCCAGTACCCACTGTTTTAGATTATTAATTATTCTATTTTATTATGTGCTGAAGAAAATATACTTCTGTGACCAACTTCCTGTCTGATGTTTTTTAAATGAAACCAGGTTCATGAGCTATACGCACAAATCGCGCACGCACACATACATGACCTTGATGTGCATATATACTAGGCCTTCTTCTAAAGAGAAATTATTTATGAAATTCACCTTTGGTTTAAAACGGCTGGATGAACAGCGTACCTTTACATATGTTACAAGCCAGCATATTTGTAATAAATGTTGTAGTACATGTATGTGCAGCCTTGCTTTCCGACTAATTAAACTGTTATTTGTGTAATAAATGCAAAGCATAACAACCAAGTTGAAATTTTAATCAGATAATCGACCAGGTACAACATGTCATTTTACCTTTCTTTTAAGGTCAAATAAATGGGATGAATTTTTCACGATGTGCAGTGTGTTATATTTGTAGGAACATAACGATTCATAAATCTCTTATCAGAAACCTTGGTTACGCTTCATTAACCTTGCACGGGGCCACTAGGCGATGCACGTTGTGAATTTTAAACCACTGCTAATCTCTTAGACGAGATGATTAATTAAGCATTTATGATTGAGAGTAAGTCCATTTGCTAAGGTAACGGACACGTATTTGGAAAACAAATGTTTTTGTTAGTTTTATGCGCGGATGCACATCCTTCATGCGGGCTACTCGTCCCTGAGCATGAAAATGACAAGCTTGCGTTTATTCGCGAGTCATCGATTCTCATTTACATGCTCTTATTAAAAGGCGAAACGAAAGTTTACTTCGTTTTTATATACATCAGGCTGTTCAACTTTATTAGTCATCACGATCATCATGTAAAAGCCGCAGCGGGTCTTGATTATGGTTTATTATAATGTTATGTTTCCTTCAGAGGGAAACCGCTAACAATGTGTATCCACACCGAGTTGGAGACTGTATCTTTGACATATAGTTGTTGCCTTTTTTGTCAACTACTTATTATAAATCTATGTGAGTAGATAACTTCAATTAAAAAAAAAAAGAAGATAACATGAGCAGAAAATGTGTTTCTTTTATTACACTGATAATTTAATTGCACATTTTAAAACACCTAAATGCATGTTCTGTCGCACTTCTAGGCACTGCCATAAAGGGAATTGATTTTAATTAACCATATATAAAACTGCGACCATTGTCTAAAGGGAATGAATATACACCATACATCTTTGCATACTTGTGTGTATAATGATAATGTATATGTAGTGCATGTACAACATCGGCGTGCTTGCACATTGTCAAACCCCCTCAACTCCGTCATTTCAATGTCCTTGTATATGGTAAATGTTGACTGAATTATTCTGTCAAAACGGATAATCTTATTGTTTTAAATAAGAAAGTCGTTTAAATCTTAGCTTTAGGTGAGATATATGCAGTAGGTAGGCTATTACACATGATCCAAAAGGCAACGGTGGATTAGGCCACAAAATAGGCTGTTTCAATGTTCATAATGCAGGCCCGTAGCTAGCAATTTCAAAAGGGGGGTTCTTTTTCTGAAAAAGTGGACCTTTTCCCATTAAAACTTCATGAACCTAGATCAAATTTTGCCCAGAGTGGACCTTTTCCCAGCAAAAGGGGTGGTTCTTTCGAACCACCCGAACCCCCCCCCCCCCCCCCCTTGGCTACGGGCCTGATAATGTATTTTTCATGATTTATTCTCATAATAAGTAGAATATAGCGACATTACGTCGTTTTTCCATAAAATATGATCGATTTTATATTAGGTGATTTGTGGCAGACGGAAATGAGATTATGTTCTATTTTGTAATTTTCTTAAGTTACATGTAAGTATAATCTCTCTCTGCCTCTCCCTCTTTCTCTCTCTCTCTCTCTTACGCCTATATCCCTTTATTCCCAAATGACAAATCAAACTAAAACCTCTCTCGATTGAAATTAGAACAAGTCATGATTAGAACCGGAATGGCGTTTTTCAACGTATAATTGATAATCTAACTAACAAGGGAAATAGGGATCAATCGTTTTCTGGAGCAACTGTCGCCTCTCGCGTTGATTATAAAAGTGATTGTCACAATTTACAAGAACCGTTGGTTACCCAGGAGAAGGACCACTTTTAACTGGTGAAAAAAAAACTAATTAAATCTCCTCTTATATTTATTCATCTGAAGTTATGGAAGCCTACTTCTAAAGACACTTTCGATGTACGGTACGATCTCTTGAGATTTCCTTTTGGTCTGCACTTCACGGTGTTATTCGGCAAGGGAGCTTTATAAACGCCTTTAATTATCTTTAGCCACTGAGGTTGCACTTCTTCTCCTTTGGGCATAGTGAAGTGCTCCTTCCACTCTCTTGACTTTCCCTTACCAGTTTTTTTTTTTTTTTTTTTTTTTTTTTTTGCGCCAAGTTGAACATGGTTTTTGTTTTACCGCAAATGGACAATCTTCGCTCGCGTCTGGAATATATTGGACCGTAAGCCGTCTTTCCCCAACGCCCTCTTCAGGTTTCTCGTGAGCGCACTAATTATGGGTGGAATTTTGTTTGAAAGTCCACTCCTACTTTGTATCACTCACCAGATAGTGTTTGGGTCCCATGCGTGGTGGCTCCAGGACACTTAAGATTGCATCTGACGGTTGTAGTTCAATTACTACAGAAACTTGACTAGGCTATCATTAAAGGCCGCACGAGAAGACCTATTTCATTATCTAACATAATAAGTCAGATCAACTTCATACAACTGTAGACGATACGACTCCACTTCTTGTATTAAAATCATTTTAGATATACAAGGGAGAA